GATGTGAATCCACTGAAGTTATATGGTTTGTAATGTTCGAAAGTTATAAATATTCCCGGTGTCTGAAGTGTCTCAATTAATAAGCGTTATAACAATCATAATTATAGCTTCCAAAGTTTATGGCACACAAATATGGCAAACCAATAATAGATACTGTTTTTTAGCGCAGCGGTTATATTTATAGGCGTGTGGAGAGTTTCTCGAAATTTCAGCTAACACAACAATACTGGCGCTGCACTAGCATTTACGTACACGCATATATTGTTGATTCTTACACTCGAACATCATCTACAACTTTAGAGGATGAGCAGGGGATTTTGCAATACAGATTTAACAGTATAAGTTATGTACATTTCTGAATATAACTATCTTAAACAAATATCGATATTAAAATAGATATATAATAGTAAATCCGTCACAAAGCACCCATCTACGACTTAGTGATTGGCAATATACCAAACAGCAGAAGTTTGGAGGAACATGACAGGAAGAAGGCTGATGAATCATCTGCAGTCACCACTGGAGCTTAAGAAAAGAACAGTAAACAATACATCAAGCCCCTTCAAGTCTCGAAAAGTATCATTCCAAATGTAGGTTTACAGGAACTGAAGGAATCACCAAAAAAAGACCCTTCATACCCTGAACTTTGGGACAGTGCCAGGGAGAAAGTGAAGCACAAGACCAAAGGGAAAGGACCTACAGAATAAAGGACCAGAAAAGAGTGTTGTACTGGATCTACCTCAGCAGTTTTACTTGGGAAGCTAAATACATCAAAGGCAGACAGAAACACTTCTATAACAAGAATGCCAAGGATTAATGTTCCAAGGTCAGACTGAAGATCTTGGTTCTGCTACCTACAGATAACAAACTTACCCTGCACAAAATGGTCAACAGAATGGACTATAGAATGAAAATGGATGGGAAGACCAAGATCTACCATGACAATCTGTTGTAGTGGTAATTCAAGAGAGAATGTGATCTAATGGGTGCAGTTTTGAGACATGGATGGACAAGGCCGGTATGGCTGTCATAGGTGCAGAACCAGAAGACAGTGACTTTGACATAGAACTTAAAAACATACTAGATCTAAGACCATTGGGTGAAGATAAGATGTACAAAGATGTCAAAATCAAAGAAGAACTGACTGGCAAGCAGAGGAAAGAGGTACAAGATCTATTCTGCCAGTATACAGATAGATTAGGCTAGACAGACCTCATGCAATGCAAGATCGAGACAAAGGCTAGGGATCTAGTGAAAGTGAAGCCCTACAGATTCCATATGCAATTTGTAGACTTCGTGTATGAACCGAGAACAGTTGATAGTGCAAAATAATATGTAAATAGTTTTCTTGGAGAGTAGGTTTTTGTTGGAGTTATTATTTAGTTTGTTTAATGATTATTTAGCTTTCATAGCAAGGAGTGTTAACAGTTAATTATTTTAAAAGGAAAATTTATTACAAGCTCCATTACGTAACTCTGTTGGAGTTGTATGTTGTGTATATAATTTAACTGTTGTATTAGGCTTTTGTAATATTGTTGACGTTATCTTACTCGTAGTTTCTAAGACTTTCTCGATATGTTTAATATTTTTGTTACTAGAGGGCTAAATATTTATAGATTTTTTATGTCATATGTTAGTGAAAGGAAAATAAGTTAGTGGACTTTGAAACAAAAACGACAATTACTTAAAGCTCTGGATACAATTGTGGTAACCAACAATTACAGTGTGGATTTTAAAGTGAGTGTCACAGTCTTGTATTGTAACAACAGAATAATTTGCCTTGTCAAACAGTATCCTAAAGTAATTGAACACACCTGTGTGGACTGATGGAGAAGAGACAATTTAAAGCTCCAGATACAACTGTGATAATCAACGAATTTTTGTACATATGTTTGACTTGTTTTGAATGCATTATATTTAAAAAAGTAGATTATGTGCTGTCCATTGATTGTTGAAATTTATCGCCAACAAGTCACAGACAACTACCGTAAAGAATCCCAACCCTAAAAGCTTCACAACAATTTTAGCTTTGTGGATGCGTCGTTTCATTACTCCCCGAGTTTTGTTTGTCCAAAAATGGTTCTCCAATTGTTATTTATTCATTTATCTTTATAAATCCCACAAAATGCAAGTCACGTGCCTTTACTTTTAACACATTAATAATAAACATTCACTTTAAACTAAGCTCATGCTTGACCTACTACTCACTAGCAACCATTTGACTATGTCAAAAAGAATATTGGTTGTACGTTTCATATAAGTTATGTTTCAAGGATATTAAATCAGGCCATCAAGAGTCTGCATTATTCTAAAAATACTATGAATAATCTAAAAAATTATAAGCTGAAACTAAATTAAAAAAGGTTATCTAGAAATAAAACAGATCTGATCATGCACTGCAAAAGAGAGAAAGAAAGAAAGATGCAAGAAAAACTGGTTGAAAAAGTTGCCCTGAAAGAATATTTTGGTTCGTCCACCCAATTCCAGTTCAGCCACATTTACAATGCATATTTACCAATAGGATAGGACCTAAAATTTTCAATTTGCTTATGCAGTATGGATATTTTGCTTTAGAAATGGTTAAATAAGAATGAAGTAAAACTATACTTAAGTGTTTATGTAAATTAAAGGTGACACCTGGAGACTGATTGAAAAAGGGATGTTAAGCTAATTGATTTATACAAACAGGTATGGAAAATTATCTTAAATAAACAGTAAATTTTAGAACATTTTAGAAAATTAGACAACGAGCTTTATTGCATGGATGACAACCATTGTTTGTTGGGGCGTAATTCACTTTTATGTGAACAACGATATCTTTTAGAGTTCTCTTTTTTTTTTGGTAAGGCACAACAGAAACTTCAGGAAATATCTGTTTAAGCTGATCGTTAAGTTGTGGGAGATAAATGTTTTTTTCAGAATATACAAAATATTTCTGAGTTTACAGTGGTAGATAATAACAATACGAATTATATTTGAAACTTTAGTACTGCTCTGTTTTAATATGTTTTTTCTGCTGAATGTTGTTCAGCCTTTATCTGTCTGTCGATTTCAGTATCTTTATATTGTTAC